TGATCTTAAGCATGGACAGCTCTATAGTTTCTTTCCAAGATTCCGCACTTGTAGGAGATGAATTCTGCTGGCTTCTTCCACTTTACAGGAAAAAGTGGGAGGATCTTTGGATCTATGGGACTTACTGTTACTCAGCTTGTCTAAATTCATCCAGAATATTCTGACTTGTGTTAAACATTATGAAATGCATTGCTTCCATTTCAATACAGCAATGTGGAAATACCTTCAATTTGATTCTAACAGGCTGGAGACTCAAGTTCCAATTTGGGTGGCTTTCACTGAAGGTCCAAAAAAAATCAAAACATAATTTTATAAAGAAAAAAACAGATTTACCTCCTCTTCTGGAAAAGGGATTAGTACAGTTTCTCTTCTAGAAAGGATAATTACATCACGTTAAGCAGACGTATGGCCTTCGTATTTGGAGACTGAGTATGGTTAAAAGAGATGCCTGTATGTGCCAAGTTGACAAGAGGTGGACTTGTGATGATTAATTTTATGCATCAGAATGACTGAGCTAAGGGGTGCCTAGAGAGCTGGTAAAACATTATTTCTGGGTATCTCTGACAAGGTGTTTCCAGAAGAGATTAGCATTTGAATCAGTAGACTAAGATAAGATCTGCCCTCAGCAATGTGATGGGTATCATCTAGTCCCTTGAAGGCCCAAACAGAACAAAAAGACAGAAGAAGGACAAATTCTCTCTCTTTGAGCTGGGGCATGTACTTTTTTTTTTTTTCTTTTATTGCTCATGCTTTTGATTTATCTAAAAAAAAAAAGAATCTTCACACAATCCAAGAATATAAAGATACTTCTACATTTTCTTACAAAATGGTTATAGTTTTATTTCTTACATGTAAATCTGTGACCCATTTTGAGTTAATTTTTGTGCATGGTGTGAAATAAGGCTCTATTTTCATTATCTGCATGCTGATATTCAGTTGTCTCAGCCTTTTACAACAACCTGTTGCAAAGAATGTACTTTCCCTAATGAATTCCCCTGGTGCCTTTGTCAAAAATAATTGACTACAAGTATGAATTTATTTCTTAACTTTCAGTTGCTTCACTGATCTCTGTGTCTATCCTTATAACTGTGCCACACTATCTTCATTAATGTAGCTTTATACTAAGTTTCGAAATTGGGAAGTTAAAGTCCTCTTACTTTGTTGTTCCTTTTCAAGATTGCCTTGGCTATTCTGAATACTTTGTATTTCCTTGCTAATGTTAGGTTATCAATTACAATTAAAAAGCCTGTTGGGATTTTGACAGATACTTTATCTACAGATTAATTTGGGGAAAATTGTCCTCTTAATAATACTGATACTTCCAGTCCACAGACATGGATTCTCTCTCCACTTACTTACATCTTATAAAATTTCCCTAAGCAGTGTTTTATAGATGTTCAGTGTACAAGCCTTATACTTCTTTTTATTTCTTTACTCTAAGTATTTTATTATTTTTGATGTTATTGTGAATGGAGTTGTTTTCTTAATTTTATTTCCAGGCTGTTAATTGCTAGTGTATAGAAATTCAATTAATTTTTGTATCTTTATCTTATATCAGATTAAAGAATTTTAAAAGCTGTGAGCTCTGAGTCAAACTGTGATGAGATCTGCAAAACAAATCCATGAAGTTGCTATGTTGATCAAGTTATTATGATGCTACATGCAGAATAAGGGAGATATTTTTATATAATATTGCTTATCAGTCTAGACTAATAAAGTGTGTTTCATTCTAGAAATGAAACTTCTAAGTTCAACAGTGGCAAGGAGTGTGTTTACTAAAGCTTGAGGTGAAAAACTGAGGAGGAAAGTCAGAATGTAATGTTGATTAGTTTTATTTCTGTTTCAACCAGTTACCTAATGTGTAACAATGAACATTTAGCCCCTTTGAGGTCCATTTTCCGCTTCTTAAAAAGGATGTAAGTGTCCCTTACCTTATATGGCTTGATAAAAGATCCAATAAAACAGCCTAGCTTAAAATCTAAAATCTAATATTGGCATATACCAGGTCCTCAATAATTACTGCTTTCCACCACTTTATGAAAAACTATGCCTCTCATTTAAACCCTCAATACATATTTTAAGCATGATAATTAGTTTCTTAAAAGAGAAAACTTAAAAGGTGACCAAAGCAACCTTAAGAACTGTAATTTAAATTCGAGAGTAGTCTTATTCACTCTTCCTCTCCAGGGCAGAACCAGAAGCAACTGGTGGAAACAGCTTTAGAGAGAGACTGTGTCAGTCAAATATAAAAGTAAACTCTTAATGAAAAGTATCTGCAAATAGAATTAGTTGCTGGAAGATATAGTATATTATATGATTGAATAAGGAAAAACTGAAATGCGTTCTAGGATGTAGTTAGGAAATGAAGCATTAGAGGGAAAGAACTGTAAGAGTATCTCTTTCTGGTCCAGGGTTCTAAGATCATCAGCATCCTCACTGACTGCTGATGGGAGCACATGCGATCTCTTAGTAAATAAATAGCCAAGGTGATGCACTTTGATTCCTGTTGGTCACACCTGAGACTAAATAACATAGTAGAGAA